TTGTGGGATAACAAACCGAAATATAGAGTTAAATTTATAAATAATTTATATTATATAATAGTATATATGGATTTATACTGCCATCTGTAAATTGCCCTTGAAGAAATTTAAAGTGGTAAAAAGAGTATTCTGAAAATGTGGGCTGAAGCGAAGTGTTTACCATGTGTTGAAATTCTTTCATGTCTAGTTTCTAGTGTACAACTTGGAACGTTCAGTATAATACTAGCTTGTGTTAGCTGGCAAAAATAGTACCTTGCACAGTAGTACAGTCACAATATGTATTCCCTCCACATAGTAGTCACTATATATCAATGTCTTTTTCTTGTCATTATCAAAGAAAAAGCGAAGCAGAAATGTCTGGTCGAATATTATTCATGATTGAGTTTTATAGTTTGAAGACTTGACAACGTCATGGTGGGATCAAGCCTGGACCATGAGTAAACTGCAGGTCGAAATGATGATAAAACACAAGCAGATATTACGACTCGTAAAGGTTCAATTAGAATAATCTGTGATTATTCGTCATTGCTAGTAGCATGACTAGAAAATAAACTTGAAAGAAGACGTGAAATATTATGAATCTCTAAGATATATTGTTGCTGAATAAACAACACACTTTTTAACACACGTGAGAGATCCCACTATAGACCGAAACGCTCTGTAACAACACAGCTGAAATACGAGTCAAACAGCAGTAGGTTCAGATGGATAAAAGCAGTTTATTTTATTGTGAAGTGAAAAATACACCTAGAAACCCATACTGATTGCAATATATATATATTAGATGTACTTCCGCAGTGTTCTCTTTCAAGAGTAAATAAAACAAAAATTAAGAGTAACATATATTTTTGTTTCTTGCTTTTCATGTGTCATGCAGTGTTGTAGCCTACAGAGTGCATAATTCTTCTCGTGATTCATGGTATGTGAACGTTTTACTAACGTCACTATGATACCAATTGCAAAGTTAAGAGACCCTTATGTGAGGTCATTTTAGTGTCTACTGACTGACTGACAGACAATACACTACTGTATAGTGGTGCGAGTAGTTAAAACAGGTGAACCTTCCAGGCGACCTTCGGCTCCCTTTCGGGGAAGTTATTCAACTTGTTTACTATATTTTATATATGTGAGTTGCCTGAATTTATTTCTGATGAAAGTCATTTGCCAGAAATGTTAACTAAGTTTTTCTCTGCAGTTTTTAAATCTTATTTTTGTTATATGTTTATATATATATATGTGTGTGTGTGTGTGTGTGTGTGTTGTTTTATGTTACGCAAGACTAAGGCTCTATTAGTTGACGCCCATTTATATTTTATTTTTGATTTTAACGGAAAGATAAAAGGAAGCTTTCTAATAAACATTGCGCTCTTTATGTAATTAACTAAAATTACAATAATTTTTCGTTATTAAGTACGTTGTTATTCCTTTTTGATTTTTTAAATTTTAATGTTTGCCACAAAACGTCCGAAATATTAAACAGGGTTTTAAAGGACATAACAATCTAAATATTACCGAATATTGACTAAGAATCAGTATTGAAATACGTTCACTCTTTTCACTGGCTATTTTACAGCATTATTATGTTATGTGTTCAACAAACTGCGACATACTTTAGTTTTTATATAGTTAGATTTACCACCTTGTAGCCCTCCAGTGGTATGTCTGCGGACTTACAACGCTAGAAACTGGGTTTCGATACCCGTGGTGGGCAAAGCAC